GATGTGTTATATGTACCCGAAATTCGTAAGAATCTTGTGTCGGGTTGGCTGTTGAACAAGCATGGTTTTCGCTTGGTGTTTGAGTCAGATAAATTTGTGTTAACCAAAAATGGTGTGTATGCGGGTAAGGGGTATGCTGATAGGGGTATGTTCAAACTTTGTGTAATGGCTCTTAAGCCAGGTGACAATGATAATGAAATGAATAACTCTTATACTTACTTGCTTGAGTCTTCAAATATATGGCATGCTAGATTAGGACATGTTAATTTTGATACTCTTCGTCGTTTAATTAAACTCAATCACATACCACACTTTCACATTGACTCAAAATACAAATGCAACACTTGTGTTGAATCGAAATCAACACGACAATCTTTCAATTACATTCAAAGGATATAACCGAACCACTTGGATTAATTCACACCGATGTGTGTGACATGAAATCAATTCCATCTAAAGGTGGAAATAAGTACTTTATTACTTTTATTGATGATTGCACTAAATAATGCTATGTCTATTTACTTAAAAGTAAAGATGAGGCTATAGAGAAGTTTAAAGTGTATAAAAGTGAATTTGAGAATCAACTTAATAAGAAAATTAAAGTACTAAGAAGTGACCGTGGAGGTGAATATGTATCACCGTTTGAGGAATTCTGTGCAACTCATGGTATCATACATGAGCTTACTGCACCTTATTCACCACAATAAAATGGTATGGCAGAAAGGAAAAATCGGACCTTAAAGGAAATAATGAATGCTATGTTGTTAAGTTCTAGGCTGCCACCCTCAATGTGGGGGGAAGTTATACTTTCCGCTAACTACCTTTTAAATAAGGTCCCACAAAAGAAATCGGATAAAACACCATACGAGTTATGGTCAGGTATAAAACCATCCTACAAATACCTTCGAGAGTGGGGGTGCCTTGCAAAGGTTGTGGTACCTGCACCCAAGGTGGTTAAGATAGGACCCAAGACTGTTGATTGCATATTTGTTGGATATGCACAAAACAGTAGTGCGTATCGATTTCTTGTACATGACTCAAAAATTCCAGAAATTCACAAAGGCATAATAATGGAGTCAAGAAATGCATCGTTCTTTGAGAATGTGTTTCCATGTCTTCATAAGGTTGAGACAAATGCTTCAAAGTTAATTGAGCACAATGAATCCTCTTATGAAGAAGAAATAGAGGAAGAAACAAAGCCCCGTCGAAGTAAAAGGGCACGAGTGGAGAAGTCGTTTGGAGATGATTTCTATACTTACATGGTTGAAAGAGAGCCTCAAACTTTCAAAGAGGCAGTCACCTCCTCAGAAGGACCTCAATGGAAAGAGGCAATTAAAAGCGAAATGGATTCAATCTTGCAAAACCATACATGGGAGCTAGTGGATTTACCTCAAGGTTGCAAACCACTAGGCTATAAATGGATTTTCAAGAAGAAAATGAAAGCGGATGGAACCATTGACAAGTACAAGGCAAGACTAGTAATTAAAGTCTATAGACAGAAAAGTGGCCTTGATTATTTTGATACGTACTCTCCTGTCACACGTATTACATCCATTAGATTGGTACTTGCAATCGCTTCTATAAGAAATCTTAAAGTACATCAAATGGATGTTAAAACAACTTTTTTAAATGGGGATTTAGAAGAAGAAATCTACATGGAACAACCAGAAGGGTATGTTGCCCCAGGACAAGAATCAAAGGTTTGCAAACTAGTGAAGTCATTTATATGGGTTGAAACAAGCCCCAAAACAATGGCATCAAAAGTTTGACTATGTGATGTTGGAAAATGGATACAAGATTAATGAATGTGACAAGTGTGTTTATGTTAAAAACACAAGTGAGGGTTATGTTATCTTGTGCCTTTATGTTGATGATATGCTTATTGTTGGTAGCAACGCTAAAATGGTTCAATCAACAAAGAACATGCTAAAGGCAAGATTCGACATGAAAGATATGGGTCTGGCAGACGTCATCCTTGGTGTGAAAATCACAAGGACTGAAAATGGACTTACTTTGAATCAAACCCATTATGTGGATAAAATTCTTGAGAAGTTCAACTCTGGTGATACTACTGTAGCTAGGACACCAATTGATACAAGTCATCATCTAAGTAAAAATAGAGGTGAAGGGCTTGCACAAGTCGAATATGCAAGAATCATTGGTAGTTTGATGTACCTTATGAGTTGTACCAGACCCGACTTAGCTTTGCAATAAGTAGACTAAGTAGATATACCAGTAATCCAAGTGCTGAACACTGGAAGAGTATTAAAAGAGTATTACAATACTTAAGGTACACTCGCAATTATGGGTTACACTATACAAGATATCCCGAGGTCATAGAAGGGTATAGTGATGCAAATTGGATATCTGACATTAAAGACTCCAAGTCAACCAGCGGGGGTTTTTGTTCACACTTGGAGGTGGAGCTATATCATGGAAATCTTCAAAACAAACAGTTATAGCTAGATCCACCATGGAATCTGAATTTATAGCACTTGATAAAAGTGGAGAAGAAGCTGAATGGCTACGAAATTTTTTTGGAAGATATACCAGGTTTGGCCTAAACCAGTTTCTGCAATCTCAATCCATTGCGATAGTCAATCGGCAATTGGACGAGCGCAAAGTGCTATGTATAATGGTAAGTCTCGACACATCCGTCGAAGACACAACACCATTCGACAACTACTCTCAACAGGAGTTATCTCAATTGACTACATAAGGTCCAAGGATAACATTGCGGATCCTCTAACCAAAGGGTTAAACACGGAGTTAGTTGCAAAATCGTCAAAAGAAATGGGATTAAAACCCATGAACGAATAAGTTATTGCGAAGGAAAACCCAACCTAGTTGACTGGAGATCCCAAGATCTAGGTTCAATGGGACAACCTACTTGCATATAACATATGTGGACCACTGTGGGGGTCAACCCCAACCCATTCCTATAAATAACAGTGATGCAGGTTAAGCTTATAGTAGTTGGTGATAAGTTGGAAATCATCAATCTTTAGCTTTTAATGATTAGGATATAATCACCTATGTGAGAGAGAAGTGGGGTCGCTTCAAAGGGAATTGAATGGGCAAGTTCCTAAGAGCTCTTACAGAACCATGCAAGTGTCCACGACCAAAACGGACACATCAATGAGAACCTAACTAGGTCAGGGAGAATCATGTGAGACATGTATTGATTATTTACACAAATGGCATTACAGTTCAAGGACATCGAGTCTACTGGTCCGCTAGTAAAATAAATATGTATCTTAAGGGAAGGTTCAAAGGGTCATACCTACCTATCCTGTGCATGATTCAACTGCTGGATTTTACCTAAAGCAGCTTGGAAATGCGGATGCTGAAGCAATTTTCATTCATGTGGGGGATTGTTGGAAAATTAATTTTATTAATTTCCAAAAAATGGATTTTCTCCATTTTTTAGCACAAATTTTGGACTCTAAGTATAATCAAAACAAGTTATTGATTATATATTCGTGTTCTCCTCCGTGATATCTTCGTTTTGATATATCACACATCCAAAACGGATTAAAAATGAATGAGAAATTACTTTTCAAAGTAGGGCAATTGGAATAGAAAATAAAAGAGTTAAATGGGTTTTAAAACTCATCCCACATTGGTGGGAGAATGAAAAGGAAATTGGTTTATAATTACAAAGACTAGCTACCTTTGTAAGACTTATTAGAACCAAGGCCCTTTCTTGCGCGCGTGCGCAGGGGGGGTGCAAATGCGAGCCAAATTGGCTTCGGGCCTCTAAACTTGTGTGCGGGCACGAATGCACCACCGGTCGACCAGAAAAGTTCAATGACCTTTTTTCCTTTTGGTTAACAGTTACAAAAACGAATTAAGAGCAATTAATCATAGATTTCGGTTTTGATTTCTTGATTAATTTTCTTATTTAAATTGTGACAGTTACGATTTCGTTTTAATTACATCGGTTATGTGACTGATTCATTACACCGGTTACATTGGGTAGTATATATACAACGTCTATGTGACTGATTCATTACACCGGATGAAACGAGATCATTCTCTTCCTCTCTTACGCTTCTGCTTCATCTTTTCTCTCTTGCTGCAACCAAGGTATCATCCGGGCCAAGTGAGGGTTCGGACAATCTAGAAGAATTTTTTTCTACTGTTGTATCCTGGGAAACAAACACCCATATAGGGCGAATTTGTTTTAAGGAAACTGTGTTAAACACAAGCCTCAGTCAAGAATTTTTTGGATTTTGTTCTTTCGCACAGTTTTGGGTTATATTTTCCTAACAACTTCATCCAAAGACATTGGAGGCTTTAATGTGTGCTCAAAGTTGGTTGTTGAATGAAATTCGATGTAGTATACTATTTTATATTAATTATATGAAATAATCTTTTTTGCATATTAATAATATTAATTTTATACAACTTGTTCTGAAGAGACCGGGACATATTGTCGTTCTGTTGAATTTGATTATGATGTGGAAGAGGTAAAACGATACTTCTAAGAATATTAATTTTATATAGTTTCCATGATTTGGTTTGATTTTGAGTTTGTTTAATATTTTGTAGGAAAACACTAAAGAAAGCGGGACAACAAGTTTGAATGATTTTGTTTGATTTTAAGTTTGTTTTAATGTTAAGTGATAATGTATTATTGTGATGAATTAGTTTTTCATATTGTGTACTTGAGTGTTTTGGTTGGTTGGTTGTTGTTACAATATTAGACTATTAGTAATTTCTATTTGGTTAAATGATTTAAGAACTTATTTGGTATTTTAAGCCTATGCAACGTCTTAATTTATCATTTTGTATTTGTAGTTTTTTTTTTCTGCCACATTTCGGGTTTTCGGGTTTAGGGTCGGGTTCGGAAAAAGTTTCAGCCCCAATGGGGCGCCCCGATAAAAAACCCGTCGGGTATCGGGTCGGGGCCGGATACACATTTAGAAATCGGGTTCGGGTTTGGAAACCATGCCCCGCCCGGTCGCCATTCCTACCCAAACCCCAACCCCCAATCCCACACACGCACACTTTCCTGAATCCTAATCCCTAATTTGGATTTGCGCTTCTAACAGTCGACTTCTCCTTCTCCGATTTTAATCGCCGGCGCTGCGACTCACGAAGTCCAAGGGTTCGCGACCTTGCTCTCGTTCACGCGTCCTCAGTCCTCACTAGGGTTCGCCATCCCCTGCTTCCTAGTTCCTCCGTCCTGCTGCGGTTCCATCTGTTCGACTCAATAAACTGTCACGAAATCTCTGCCCCAAACCAGTGAACAAGGTGATTACACATTTACACTTTACAGTTTACACTCATTTTAATGCTTCTGAAAGTTTATGTGTTCCTGATAATCTGAATGCTGATGTATGTATGTTTCTTAATGTTTCTGAAAGTTTGTCTTTATGAAAAGTTAACGTTTCTGTCTGGTTATAATAATTCGATGTATCTTTGTTTCTGAAAATTTCTGAGATTTTCATGTTTCTGTTCTTAGTTGCTTTGTAATTTATTTGGTTTGTTTTTTGAATACAAGAGGATGCTAACTATTTTGAGTTTTGAAACTATTTGTTCCCTTTGCAGATTTCAAAGTTTCTGAAATCTTAAATGGGAACTCAGAATATGATTTTGAACGTGTTCAAGAAGTATTTAGCAATTGGGCTTGTGGGCATCACTGTAACAGACCGTTATGGTGGAGTATGCCCTATTCGAGGTTCATCCATGTCTCCAACATTTAATCCTTCTGTTGGATCATTTACAGGTACCTTTCATAATTCATAAATCATAATTCATACACCAAAATTCATTAGTGTTAGCATTCTACATATGCCACATTAATGATTAATTTCATCTGCAGATGATTATGTTTTCTTGGAGAAATTTTGCCTTGACAAATACAAGTTCTCACACGGCGATGTAGTTATTTTCAGGTATTAGGAGGGCATTTATGTCTTTTCCACATTAATGGTTAATTGTGATGTAGTTTGGATTATTTTGTAGTGATCCAACTAATTACAAGGAGAGATGTGTGAAAAGAATAGTAGCAATGGAAGGTGATTATATCAGTAATGTGAGTGGTGTTGTGAAGGTTCCAGAAGGACATTGTTGGGTAGAAGGTGACAACTCAGCTTCTAGCTTTGATTCAAGATCATTTGGCCCTGTATGTTTACCTTTATACCTAATTACAATACTATTTTGAGTTTTCAACAATTCATACTTCAAAATGCTACAATTCTGTAAAATTAAAAGAATAGGCTAAAAAGGGAACCATATGATGATATGAACATAATATGGTTTACTTTTTTTTTTTTTTTTTTTTTTTCAGATTCCATTGGGTTTGATTCATGGAAGGGTTACTCACATTGTTTGGCCACCACAAAGAATCAGAAAAAATTGATAGAAGAATCCCACAAGAGGGACTTGCATAAACATTCATTCAATGCATTGTTTGTTATTTATATACTCATCAAATGCATAAACAAATCAGTCTTGAAAGAAATCAAATTCTGCTGGTTTTAATTCCAGTATCTGAATTTGGTGGATCTCAAAGGTTGTTTTCGAGCCAAGACCTGGCATGACATGACGTGACATAACAAACAATCTGATACATTGTCCATAACAACAGTTCATTGTTATGGACACTGACTGCGATTGAGATTGATGTTAATAGGACAAAAATTACAATGTCATGTTTTGGTTAAATGATAGAACAAGGTGGTGTATAGACACGTTTTTGAACTTTTTATTTGTGTAAAAGACGTGAATGTCCTCATCATCAAATATAGCTCTAGAAAGCTTGTTCGATATCTACTCTTCCAATAACATAATTGAAACACTTTGTAAATACATTCAATTAGAAAAGTAGACGTAAGTAAAATATTGACTTTTGGTCAACCAGCTACCCCTATATCTAATTGAATTACTTTTGTAACGTCAATGATTTAGTCCTTACGAAAGAAATTTGATTACTTAAATGGGACAAATGAAAAACTAAGTTACTTTTCTATAATCTTATTCCTTAGAACTTTTTAAAAGAACGCTTGAAATAAGAGATGAGGTCAAATATGTATTAAACAATTAGACCAGGTTAAACACATGGTTTTGTGCAAGTTGTTCTCACTTTTCATCCGTTAATCACGGAAAAGGCCTTGTATTAGAAGGGGAAATTTAGGTCAGAACAATGAAACCAATAAACTATACCAAGACATGTTAAATTTAGTTTTGATTTAGGTTTTAGATTTTCCAAAGTTTGATCATATGCTCTCTGCTTTTTAAAAGTTGGTTTTGGTTTGTTTCAACTTTGTAAACTTGAAAAGGGACGTCATAGTCTTATGTTTGTCAAATAATAAAAACTTTGATTTGTGTTAAGTTAATGGTGTGGATTTTATACACCCACATTCCTCTTTAGTAATTACAAAATGTGGACGATTAAAAATATATAGGGAACTATTCAGACCTCATAATTTTGGGTTTTTGTTCAAATACGTTTTTAACATAGCACAGTAGCACACTAATTGTTAAAGCTTTTGTAGCAACAAATGTGACACCTTCATCTTTACTTGTCAATAACCTTTTTCATCTCACTCGAAACATCTTTTCAATCAATTATTCTCCATTAAATACGACCTCTTAAAGTCTCAAAGTAATTAATTACCACTTGGGAAGCTCGAATTAAAAAAATCTCCACGTAATTAATGACCACTTGGGACCCTCCAAATAAGGAAATATAATAAAGAGAAACTAGCTAAACTAACCACTATAAATAAGTATATCGATAAAAATATCATTTTTAATTTTTTTTTTTTGGAAAATGATCACCAACTCTGGAGCACAATATTCCAAAGTAGTAAAGTGGTGGTTGATAGGATAGACATCCGCAATCTAACATCAGTATATTTCGGACCAGAAAATTCATTCAGGAGTATAGTTTTGAATGCACGGCCATTTCCGGACTATTGTTATGGAGTCAAATGAATAAGATATTGGATTTCTATTGCATATCTAGATCACATACACCTTCGTTGTTCCCATTTGAGAAACGTTGCACATCCAAACCACACATAACTTTGTGTTACTGAGAAAATGAGTTCGTATAATCATTATTTTAGAGTATTTATTTGTAGTGGAGAGAAATAGGAGCAAATTGATTGATCGCAGTATATTGCTCCAGACTTAGGGGTGAGCAAACACAAACCAAGAAACCGAGAAACTGACGAAATCGAAACCGAAAAAACCAAAACCGAAGCAAAACTGACGGTTAGGGTTTGAATTTTCTAAAAACCGAAAAATCGGGTTCGGTTTTGGTTTTTACCGAGAAACCGATCCATCCAACCCAAGAAACCGACCCATACTTAAAACCGACAAACCGCCCCAAGAAACCAACCCATACATGATTGTGTTTTGGTTGTAATAGACTATTTCGGACTTTGGTTGTAACTTGTAATAGACTATTTGGTTGTAAGACTCATGTTTTTTGAAGTATTTAACTTCAATTTGGTGTTTTTTTATTTAACAACTTGCTTCATTTCTGGATTTCTGGGTTTAAACCCAGAACCCGTGAGTGTATAGGTTGAACCCAAGAAATCGAAAAACCGCCCAAACGGACCTCAGAACCTAAGAAACCGAACCGATCAGAAACCAATCTTATTGGGTTCTGAAAACCAGAAACCGACCATTTATGGGTTGGGTTGGGTTTGGGTCCAAAACCGACCCAAACCGACCCATGCACAGCCCTATCCAGACTACACATGCTTTGGTGTAGATTTAATCACTAATACCAACTTTTCTAGGTTTATTATTTTGGTTGTTTTGAAGCCTAGGTTGCATACTAATCAAATTCATATGTTTTTTCTATGTCCTGGATCAAACATAATTATGCAGATTATTTACGATAGTAATGTTAGATATTTTCTTAGTTTTGTTAGTAGTATGCCCCTAACACAATACAATTGTTTGTTGTTAATAATATTCTGGAAAGTGGAGTTAATCAATTTCCAAGTGAAAATTGTTGTGGCGACAATTGGTCTTTTGGTGCTGGAAGAAACCAAAATTTGTAATTTATTACCTATGACATTGGATCATATTCCTTCTTACAATGATCACCATCGAAGGAGGTGATGTTAGGTATAAAGGTAAGGTTGTTGTTGATGTTGATGTTGGTCAAGCATTTAACGATGATGAATCAACAATTGATCAAGCAAAACCATGTTAGTTGAGGATGGTAATATACTTCCACTTGGAAACCTGGTGGAAAAATTCCATTGCTTCTCCGAATTTGATAGGGATGAGACTCAATTTGATAAAGAGGAAACTAAGCCCCAACAACCCCGACATGAAAAGTAGCATTATTATTTTTTAGATTCTGAAGAACAAAAACCACACATTGGGGGACGTCTGATCCCTTACCATTGCCCGAACTCTTAGATCTAAAACATAAAGGGTCTGTAGCCCACAATCCATCTTCGCATGTGAAGTTGTTACAAATGTTCAAAATCAACAAAGAGCTTAATCTTCATTTGGGATTCAAATGTGTTAATGAGAGATTTCAAATTACAGTGAGAAGATATACCAGATATAGGTTTGAAACAGTTTGCTTTGTTAAAAAATGTAAATGACGTTTAATGACTATAAAAGATAAGATTACGCTACATTTTAAGTTTGTAAACTATCTGAAAGCCATATTTTTCTCAAACACGCATCTGTGTCCCCATCGCTAAACCAAAAGGAAAGTTTTGGGTCACTTCTTGAATGACATATTAGCTGATAGTACATGCAATATGTTTCAGGGAAAGAAAATTCAACAAACTATAAAGACATATGATTGTTACAATTTAAAAGACTTCCTTATATTATTACAGTTTAAAGAGAAACAATGAATGTTACACATATAAAGACATATTACAACATATTTGAATATGTTTTCGTTGAAATTGGTTACGCAGTAATATTTATCATTCAAACTTTTTTGAATGTGTTATATATGTATTCAATCTAATTACTTATATATTATTTTGTAGATTCGAGCGTTTCAAACTTCTTTGCGTCATCTTATTATCATTTCCTGGAGTACACCTAAAAGGGAAATACTTGTGTCCTCTTATTATCAAACTTTTTTGCACAGAGACATATTTATCAAGGTTCTAAATAACGTAAGGCGTGACTTGGTGACAATGTCAGACTTCAAGCTTTTTCAAGCCGTGGCGAGCCTCGTCGTTTGTAAGGCGTGACTTAAGGCGTTAATTTTTATATAATTAATAATTAAATATATATTTTCTACTATTATTCATTTTTATATACAAATATGACCTAAGACGACAATTTGTCAAAGCTCGGCGGCAACTACAAGCCTTGTAGATATGACGCGCTATGGCGAAGCCATGTCAAGCTTTTTAGAACCTTATATTTATAGAGACATATTTTGTAAATTATAGGTACTATTTTGTAATTTGATTTCTACATAGGGACCATTTTATAATTTTCTATTAAAACATAGACCATTTTGTAAGTTAGAGGGACCATTTGTATAAATATTTTTTGAGGATAAATATCCAGAAGTTATAAAATATTATATTGGATTAAAATTATAGTTTTTTATTTGCAATATGTAAGTTTTTCTATTAAATATTAAGTAAAAAGCTAGCTACATGTAATAATTTTTATGTTTTAAAAGAATAATAACAATATAATAAAAGAAAGATATTGTTGTATTATTAAGATAATTAAGATATGTTTTTCGTGAATTATTTATGTGTGTTGGAGTTTTCGCTAAGAAAGAAAGATTTGTGAATTTCTTGATGAAGGGGACGCGAAATTTTTTTTGGACGTACAGGAGGGAAACATACATATGTGAATATGTGAATCTCAGAACCGCCCATGAGAAAATGCGGGGTGTGCGACCTTACATGACCCGTGTCGTGAAGGAGACACAAAATTTTGTTGATGTAGTATAAACATAGGAATCGACAAACGAAAATTCCCGTTGTAAATCCACCGCTAAAGGCCAACAGTGGAAAATCAACGATGAAATTAGTGAGGGACTTAGCGACTAAATTAATGACACATTAGTTTGTCGCATCTTTGGAATAAGATGGCTTCTGTTGGGGTTATGTCGCTAATTACCATCACCGATTATTTGTAAATGAAAAGTTTTTCCGTTTTTAATCATTGTCACTAATAATAATTAGTGACGGTGTCACACCCCAAAACCGGAACGGGGGAAACGTTCTGGGGTGGAGGACGTCATGCGTAGCATCATAACAATTGTATCATAGCAATCATAGTAAACACAACCAAACATTGAATACATGTGTGAAAAAGGTTTACATATGTTTAAGTCTTGTTCAAATACATCATAACTGAAAGTAAATATAAAGGCATGACTTTGTTGCTCCGACTTCTCAGACTCCAGGAGTACCTGTCTACTGATTTCCTGAGAATACAAGCAGTTTTGAAAGAGTATCAGCATAAAGCTGGTGAGTTCATAAGCGTTGTTTGTATATTGAAAACCGGTTGTTAACTCTGAAAATGTTTGCATGACTCCAAGAAAATCCAATATTTTCTTTAGTAAAAGTGAGAGAATTTTAGTAAAATGTTGTATGATTGGACTACCACTAGATGTATTGTAGGATGAGCATTGTATGAAAAACCGTTGTATAAAATGTTCTGTTTGAAAACCCTGGTTACTACCAGTACGTATAGTAGTATTAGTTTTCCTTGAGAAACCATGTATTTGTCC